CTGATCTTGGGAAGCCTGACAAGGAAAAAGAGATGCCAACTTAGGAAAAAGGATAGACTGGATTTGATAAAATGGTGTTCAAGATAGCAAACTCATGAATAGACCTTTACAGCTTTGCTGCCTACCCCACCTTCATTGCCCAACTGGAGGAAAGGAGCACTGAAGGATGGATACCACAAGAAAATACAAAGAACAGAAAAAAGTTGTAAAAATTTTTCTCCACAAAGTCAAAGGAAGACAACCTGGTCTCCCAAATAAAAATGGATTAAGACATTCAATTACTGAAAAAAAAAAGATACAGGACAACAGAAGAGATATAAAGCAGTTAGCTGGAAGAGCTGAAGAAAAAAAAAATGGAAGGGAAAAAGCTGTATCAAAATCTGCCAACAATAGAATAGACAAGGTGGAAATATGGTAGATTGGCTCAAGAAAATAAAACTAAATGAAATGTAAAAGAACAATGATATAAAATGATTACAGACAAGATGACGGATATGAAGACAAAAGAGTATTCCCAAGAAATGAACATTTGTATTCCTAAACTAATAACAATTTTATAATAATCATAATGATAGTTACTACTACTGCTGCTATTATTATTATTATTGAGTACTTGTTGTGTGTTAGGACTTCTAAGCAATTTGAATGAAATAACATATATAAAGCACTTGCAGGCGATAGGCATCATTATCGTTCACCTTTTATATTTGGGAAAAAAAACTGTAATATGATATTGCCATCCTTACAGTGCCTACTTCACAATTTTGTTAATGTCATACTGCCAGTAACAGACAGAACTAAAATTTGAACCCAGGCAGCAGGGTCTGAGACTCTACTTTTAATCAGTATACTACACTGATTAAACAGAATAGATATAAATTTAAATATATTACAGGAAAAAAAAGTTTTCCTGGAATAAATATTTGAATGTATAGGTGTAAACGACAAAACACATACCAAGAAATAAAATACACTGCAAAACAAACATCAAAATCTCAAGGATAAAGAATAATATAAGTATTCATTATGAAAAACAGTATCTTAAACAAGGGATAAAATATTAGAATGATCTCAGATTTCTCTGTTTTAACACTCTATTCCAGCAAACAGTCTACAGAATTCTGAGGGAAATCAACAGCAACAATAATTTGATACCCAGCCAAGTGATCCTTCACAGTGAGAGGTTATACACCTTAGCTATGAGGAAGAAGGCTGTTGGGATAGTGATAAGAGCTTGAGTTCTGGAGTCTTGGTTTGAATCTTGGCTCTGTATGTTTCAAAGCACATGCCCTTGAGTAAATTACTTAATATCTCGAAGCATCAGTTTCCTCATCTATAAAATTAGGAAGCTTAACAATATCTTCTGCTTTTCTCTTTTTCTTCGAGTAAAATCATTTTAAAATATTTTTATTTAAAACTATAATTTGATCCCATTTTTCTAAAATTTCAATTTACCCATCCATCCATCCATCCATCCATCCGTCTGTCATCTGTATACAGAAAACATTGGGAAGACTTTCACTGATTAATGATGGCTATTTATGATTGTCAATATTTGTTTATTTTTTACACTTTTCTATATTGTTTAGTGTGATAGTTGGGATTGTGTGTCAACTTGGCTGGACCACAATTCTGAGTGGTTGAAGCAGTTGTGATGTAGTTATCCCCATGATGAAATCTGATGTATATGCTTTGAGCAGCCAATCTGCTGAAAGGGAGTTTCCCTAGAGGTGTGTGTGACCTGCTTCTAATAAATATATGGACATCCTGGGAATATTAGAGAACCTCTAATATCTGAATCCTGTTGTGCTGCCTACAACTGCCCGTAAACAAACAATCCACCATTCCACCTGGTGATCTTGGATTCGTCATTGCCAAAGTTAACACCCCATATACTGCCTCCCAATCTTGAGCTCCTCAGCACCTGCAGCTACATGAGTCAGGAAAAGCCTTCAGCTTGATGTTTTATCAGAACTTGGGACTTGCCAGCCTCTATAACTGAGCCATTCTGTTATTTTTATTTATTTATTTTTCTATATATAAACTTTACTGGTTTTGCTTCTCTGGAGAACGCAGCCCGATACACTTAGCATTTTTAAAAATCTTATGTTTTTTTGGGGGGAGCTCTGGTAGCATAGTGGCTAAGACACTTGCCTGCTAACCAGATGGCTGGTGGTTCAAACCCACCAGCCACTCCTCGGAAGGAAGGTTGGGCAATCCTACTTCCGTAGTGATACTGCCTCGGAAACCCAAGGAGGGGTCGCTATGAGTCGGGGCCGACTCGACGGCACATAACAACAACAACAACATGTTATTTTTACAAAACACAATAAGTCATTATTTGTTTAAAATATTTAAAGTTGGGCAGTACACAGGGATGAATTTTCAAATTCTCTAGTGGGTCTCAGAATAGGTAATTGAGCAGCCATGAAGAAGGGAACTGTTTAGAAACTGATCCATTCCTTCTTATTCCTGACAAGCTCAAAGGAGCAAACAATAAAAAGGAAAATGAAGAGAAGAAATTAACAATGCATGACATAATAATGTGTGTTACTTTTTGTTACAAGTAGTTCTAGAAAGCAAAAGAGTAGAAAAATAATTTCTCTTTGTTATTAATCTAAAAACACAAATATTTATGGAGGCCATGTACAGTATATGACTGGTAGGAACGATTGCAACCTGTAGAGATTCTGCTCTATCAGAAAAAGCTCTGGATGAGGAAGAATGAGATTTTCCATTTTTTTTTTCAAGAAAAACCAAATATTCGGGTTTTTTTTTTTTTTTTTTTTGCGATTTCTCTTGATTTGTGAATATTTTCTCTAATTTATAATAAATAGGCCAAAGTTAGTCAATTAGCCATCAAGTTGGAACTTCTAGCTTGGCCTGTCTTTACAAATATTAAGGTTTATCCTTTGGATGTGTGTTCATTTGTCTGATACACAGTTTTCCACAAGACAATTCAAAGCACTGCAATTCAGATTGTTGGAGAGGCCTTGAAAAGGGTTGGTACTGCCAGACTTGTAATGCTCATATACCCACTTCCTGTTTTCCTTCTTGAATGCTTGTGAGGACTTGAAATACATAAAGCCACATCTAGAGTCCTCATGGAGAGTTTGAGGGTCTGTTAAGGGCCTCGGCTAACCCAGAGCTAAAAAAAGGTAATGCTACAGGGAGGGAGCCAAGAGCAAAGGAATGAGATAGATGTATTGCAAAGAAACCTGAGAATAAAGAAATGAGGCTATGCCTTAGATGGGCCCACTGTGAAAGCTTTAATTTCTTGGTTTTTCTGCCTTTGGATTATTGGAAAAGTGGTATTTGGTAGAGTTTTAAATCTTTCAACCCTCACCTCACTGTAATTCTCTTTGTTACTCTGAGCTTGCAGTAAAGTCTGATACCAATATAGAGCCTTGTCAGGGCAGGGTTGTGGAAACTGAAGTGTAGTTTCCACAGGAAAGTGTAGCCAGTCCCAATTCACCCTTTGTTGGAGCTCATGAACATGGAGAAGTACCCTACTGAGAGGCCTGACTAGAAGCACCAGGGAGTGATGAGCCATGAAAGAAGCAGTGACCACAGCAGAGTTGAAAGTGGCACTAGATTCTAAGTAGTATCTGCTAGGTGGAACATGGAAGAGACTTGTAACACAAATACCCGATTTTTCATATATACTGTGTCTTTGGGTGAGCCAGGTGGAAAATGGGTCAAAGCTTACTAGTAATAATACTGAAGCATCATATGGTTCTACTATCCTTAAAATTTACTCCTAAGTTTGTTGCATTCATGAATAGTGTACATGATAGACATAATGTTTATTATCAGAGAGAAAAGATATACTGGAAAAAATCCATCACATATCTAATTCTGAGACAGACCAGATTATTACAAACTAAAAGCTCTAATAATTCTGCAGGTTTGGAGTTAAAACAAACTCATAATAAGACAAGAATATTTCATTTTACTCACAGCTCAACTAAAAGAGGATTCATTAATTTTAGACAGTAAATTGTAACAAAACATTATGAACAATTATTTTCCATCAGAAAATGGTAGCTTCAACAAATCAGCAGTTTCTTTATTTTATACACATGGCAAAAATAATGTAAAAATAAAATACCTGCACTTGGGAAAATATGAAATACAGATGTCATCACAACCATTAGTTTTCCACACACAATTTTACCTATCTGTGAATTTTGATTAGTAACTCCATCCACAATTTACTGATGTCCATAATATACCAGGTACTTACAATTTTGGTATTTCCTTCATAACAGGTGCTTTATATGTCAATAACTAAATCATGGATTAAAAACACAGTGTTTGGATACAGTCTTCCTTAACTCATTGGGAGCCAATACATCCTTTGCTGTTATAGCTAATGGAGTGGTAAAAGAGGGCTGGTAGTCAGTGGCTACACAATGCCAGGATCCTACCAACATAGCTGCTTGTGTGCAACATTAATAAGCAAACCAAACCTGATGCCATTGAGTCGATTCTTATTCACAGCCACTCTGTAGGACAGAGTAAGAACTGCCCCATAAGGCTCCCAAGGCTATAAATCTTTACGGAAGCAGCCCGCCACATCCCTCTCTCACCATTGATAACAAGATGTTGTTAAATAATTGTCAAATATTTTGATTCTCACTCCTGAACAAATGTCTCCTATATTTTTAATAAGAGGTAGAATAACAGTGCAATTTCAAATGTTAAAATACACACATAATTTTATGCAACATTTTATATTATACTACAAATATTTACACTTTCAAAAATAAATTAAAAATAAAAAAGCAAAATTAGTTTGAGAATAGTTCATGGTCACTAGATGGAGTCCCTAGGTAGCACAAATAGTAAATGCACTTGGCTGCCAACCAAAAGGTTGGAGGTTGGAGTCCAACCAGAAAAACAAATCAGTCATTGAAAACCCTATGGAGCAAGTTTTACTCTGACACACATAGGGTCACCATGAGTCAGAATCAACTCCATGGCAAATAGTTTTTTATTATATTATTCAATGACAATTTCGGCCTTCTTTTCAACAAATTCATCTGATCCAAGGTCCTCATCCTCATCTTGCTTGAAAAACTTGTTTTGGCAGCGCATTTGAAATGCAGAGTGTTTTGTTGTCTAGAAGTAGGAAGATGTTAATAATAGAAATGCTGACAATGATCAAGTGCAGTCAAGAAGAGTTGATAAACATTTGTACAATATGTAAGAAACTCCGTAAAAATTCTTTAATATTCTTTTCTTCCAGTTCCTCACATTCTTTGCATCCAGATTCTGTTATATTCTGCCAAATAAAAAGAAAAGATTCAATTAGCTAGCCTAATTTACACTTTTCTGGGAATACCACATCATCTGCACCATATGGTGAGGTGTTGAGACATGAAAACTGGCAAATTAACATCATCATAGGAAAAACAATGGGAAAAGGGAGCTGAGAGATTTGATATGGGCTTATTTTTCCCATGAGGGATTAAGAACATTCATCAAATAAGTAAGTAAATAAATAAATACATAAATAAATAAATAAGCCATGTTTATCAGACCACAAATTTCCTCCTTAGAGTTCTTGAATGTTTTACTTTTCGTCATCTGTCCCTAGGATCAGGAGCTCTGGTAGCTTAGTGCCTAAGGCACTTGACTGCTAATGAGAAGGCTGGTGGTTCAAACCCACCAGCCACTCCTCAGAAGGAAGGTTGGGCAATCTACTTCTGTAGTGATACTGCCTCAGAAACCCAAGGAACAGTCGCTATGAGTTGGGTCCAACTCCACGGCACATAATAACAACACCCCTAGGATAAGTCCATACCTCCCTGCATGGCACATAGGTCCTCCGTGAGCTGTTTCTTGGTCTATCTCTTCTACCTTTCTCCACCGTCTCAAATATTATACCCTAGGAACTCTGAGCTCATGCCTTTCCTTTCCACCACACATCATGATATAAGAGGCCTGTGGTAGTTAGGTTTGTGTGTCAGCTTGGCTGGGCCTAGCTGAGTTGCTAGGCACCTGGATGTAGTATTCCCCATGATGAGACTGGTAATCAACTCCATGGTGGAACCTACTATGAGCAGCTGAGTAGATGCCTTAGGGATGTGGTCTACTTCCTGTACATACGGAGAAGCCTTGGGGAATAGTCTCTAGCTTATGGCATGCTCGAATCTTGCATGTAGCCATGTCATTGTTCAGCAGCCTGCCATGCTCTGCTAACATCGGGACTTTCAGTGGACCTGAATTAACGGCCTGCCGTGTCATTTGGTAATATTGGGACTGTACCATTTTATTTGTCAACCTTGCGCTTGTTAGCCTCAGCAGCCAGTAGCTGCCTGAGTGAAGAGATGCCTCTAGCTTCAGTGGGTCAGAAACAAGAGGCAGAGCTGAAGCCCAAGGTTGAGGGGGCTTTCACACAGCCCCTAGAGCCTGGCACTTGGAACTCGGACTTCTAGCCTCCCAAACTGTAAGAGAATAAACTCCTGTTTGTTCAAGCCATCCCATTTGTGGTATATTCTTGTCAGAGCAGCACTAGGTAACCACAACAAGGCCTCTCTGCCTTTGTGTTTCTCTTTGTTTACTACAGGTTTCCTATTCTAGCTACTACCACTCACACCTAAGATTACTTAGGTGCTGTCTCCTTTACAAAGGCTTTGGTAGACTCCTAAGACCTGAGGCTGTATTAAATATACTGTGTCTGTGTTTTCATAGCCCCTTGTTTAGACCTCTATCACAGCATTTCATGTATTAATATGAGTTTTGTGTTTTTAATTCCACTATCCTATAAGCTCTTTCAGGAGGGCAAGGACAAAATATTTAGTATAGTATTGTGTCTGGCACTTAACAATTACCCAGTCATTATTGGTTAAATTGAAGTATTCAGGTGAATAACACAAATGGTTGGAATTTTAGCAGTTTCACGGACAACTAGAATATTCTAAATGTGGCAATCATAAATGAATCTTTTCAGAGATAGCTAAATCATGAAAGCTTTACCCAGCAAAAGTAAAAATTAGATTTAACATCCATGAACATGTGGAATTCAGATTCACCAATGTTTACCAAGCAAGGACTCCATGTCAGACACTGCTACATTTTATATAATGCTGACCTATTTGACCTTCAATATAATCATGTCAGACAGGAAAGAAAAGATGGTCAATGACTCATCTCATGTGACATAATCATCTAAATTTTTTACACCTAGGTCTTCTGACTGTGCAGTTGTCACTCATTCTACCACATAGCCCACCTAATGTCCTTATGAAGGTGATGGAAAAGGAACATGAAAGAGTTTATCATTGCTATTGTCATGAGTTATCTATTTTATGGCTTAGTCTTTCCATCAATAAGATGAAGATTTGTCATGGGAAGTATTTTAAACATTAATATATTTGTTTCATAAATGTATCGAGTAGTATAAGCCAAACATTGTTCTGGAGTTGAGATATAATGCTGGAAAAAAATAGACAAAAATACCAGCCCTTGTGAAGCTGACATTTTAGCAAAGAAAAACAGAAAATACCTGTTAAGTAAAATATGTAGTATGTCAGATGGTATGACATGCCATGGAAGAGTCAAGGCCTATAGTGAGGGGACAGGGAGTGCTTACAGTAGGGGTGGAATTGCAATTGTAAATAGGTGATATAACTAAGAAGGTGATATTTAAGCTAAAACCTGAAGCAACTGGCATTTTAAGAGAAAATTCATGATGCCCAGCCACACTAGCTCAGAGGTTTTGCATTTTAATTGCCTTTGCCTGAACATCCCCAAGTATAAACAAGCTCACTTGCTCACGCCTCTACCAAATGTCATCTTACTAGTTAAACCTTCTCTGGCCATCCAGTGTAAATTACAGTTCCAAACCCCTAACCCACCTTATTTATCTCAATTGGACTTAATTTAAAAAACTGACTTAATATACGTATGCATATTGATTGGTTTATTTATGTTTCCTCCATCCTTAAGACCAGATATCATAAGTTTTTCTAACTACTATATCTCTACCATGGGGCCCAAAATATTTCTAAAATAAATAATTTTTATTATGCTTTCTTTGTTTATAAAATATTGAGTTTTTAAAACTTCACATTTCTTTGGTCATGAGTATTTGAAATTCATAATGTTTTGAACCTCAGGGCCTTTGAACATTTGATCTCTCAGCCTACCATGTTGTTGTTGTTGTTATGTGCCGTCAAGTCGGATCCAACTCATAGGTACCCCTCCTTGGGTTTCTGAGGCAGTATCACTACGGAAGTAGGAATGCCCAACCTTCCTTCTGAGGAGTGGCTGGTGGGTTTGAACCGCCAGCCTTCTGGTTAGCAGTCAATTGCCTCAGGCACTATGCTACCAGAGCCTACCATAGCAGTCCTTCATATCTGCTCTCCTGAAACCCTTCACTGCTAATGTTTCTTGGCATAAAAATACACAACTTATTAAGTTCTTTATTACTACCCTTTTGCATCATTTATGCTTTCATGAGAGTACAGACTCTAGAGTGAAACTGCTTGGGTGTGAATCTTTGTTCCTAATTACTGGCTGCATGACCTCGGGTAAGTTGTTGAAGTTCTCAGTACTCTTGTTTTTTTAACTGTCACATAGATATCAGGATGCCTACTTTACAGAGTCATTGTGAGAATTCAATGAATTACCAATTTAAAGCTCAAGGAATAAGTAAACCAAACTAATCAAACCCACTGCAGTGAGATGATTATGAATCAAAGCAACCCCCATAGGGTTTCCAAGGGTTTCTGGTGGTGTAGTGCCTAAGGCATCTGACTGCTAACCAGAAGGCTGGTGGTTCTAACTCATCAGCCACTCCCCAGAAGGAAGGTTGGCTAACCTACTTCTTTAGTGATATCTCCTCGGAAACCCAAGGAGGGGTCCCTATGAGTCAGAACTGACTTGATGGCAGTGGGCATTTTAAATTTTTATGGAAGTGGTTTGGTTCATCTTTCTCCCACAGAGCAGCTGGTGGATTTGAACTGCCAACCTTCTGGTTAGCAGACATATGCCTTACCTACTGTACCACCAGAGATCCTTCTGGTACACAGTAACAGTCCAATAAATGTAAGTTTCTATGACTTATGTTATAATTAAATACTTCATTATGCAATTAGGTAAATGTCTATCCTTTCTACCTAACCACATACATTTTGAGATCAGTGACCATGTAGTGCCTAACACTATTTAATAAACATTTGTTGGGGGGGTGTCAATGAACAGTTTAGGATTGCATATCAGAGATAGCCCCACTTTTAGATTAACTCCATTGAAATTAACTCCCTCTCCTCTACCAAATGCCTTTTTAGAATATCTGCTTATTCATTATATCCAGTTAATGACTCTCCCAATCAAGCTAAAAACATCAGATATATCTCTATATGATTGCTGGATAACTCACCCCATTAGAAGATAAACTGCTGTTTGCTAGGATGATAAGGTTTTCCACTGTTTCATCAATGTCCATATTCCTGGATTCATGTGAAATAACATTTAACTCCAGAAGAAAGCACTTCATTGCTGTTACTTTGCAATTAGGCTAAAAACAGAGTTACAAAAAAAAATTTTGAAAACCTTAAATTACTTTCTGATTATTCATTTTTACATGGATGTAATTTTGATTTTTTTAAAGCTAATCCAAATATTTTACAAAAACCTTAAATTACTTTCTGATTATTTTTACATGGATGTAATTTTAATTTTTTAAAGGTAATCCAAATATTTTAGGAAAATAACACAACAATACTTCTAAGAAGTTCTACATAGGAAGCAGTTTTGATTTTATTTTTCTTTTCTAGCTTTGAAATAAAAACCAAACCAAACAAACAAAACACAATCAAGAAGCATAGTGATAATATATAGAAGGAAGAACAAAAAATTAGAAAACCTGGAACTAAGAAGCCACTTTTTTCACTAAGCACATTTCTCCTTCTGTAAAAGAATGCTCATATCAGCCCTAGACTTGAAACAATGATATAGACAGTGCGTGTGTAAGAATTTTTCCAATCAGATTGTATCATTAGCATTTTAAAGAGTGGTGGCTGCTAATCATGCTATTCTTATAAGACTCAAAGTTCCAGAGGCAGAAGTGATGTCCGGAAATTCATTAGAAAAATCAAAGCAGGAGTACTGTGTACTCACAGACTGGGCAGTTCAGAAAGGGATCACTTAGGCACCACAGGAATGTATTTCCCACAACAGTTATTTAACAAAAATCTTCTAAACTTAAAAGGAAAGAAACATGTAATGAACCTCTGGGGATCTGACCACGGCTTGTTTAACTTGTGTTTTCAATACTCAGCACAATGCCTGGGACCCTGCAGGCACTGCAAATGTACTATCTGAATGAGTGCATGAAGGAAGAAACACACGCATGTCCCATGTTTTAGATAAGTTCTAATTGAGGGATAACAGAGTAACTATTCTTAATATTTGGAAAGCACACAACATAGAGTTTGTTGGCCCTGTGGTAAGGAAGGTGGGAATTTGTTTCTAGTTTTTAGTAATCAATCAGGAGGGAAAGGATTAGCAAAATGATTGAAATCATATACACATCAGGCAATGCCAATGCGTTAATGAAAAAAAATAAGATCATTTTTGAATTCTGATTAATTTTAGGGGTTATGTTTGTTTCTTTTCTCACATGAAAAGTAATCTGTCAGAGTTCTTTTTTTTTTTTTCCTGACAAATGTTGAGTCATGAAAAATACAGAATATGAATGCATTTAAGCAATATGAAGAAAATACGATTTGAGGTGGTAATAATTATAGTACTGAAAATTAGTGATATATATGTTGGATACTTTGAAATTGAATCAGTTACTTGATCCTTGTATCTAAATTGCCTCATGATTTAATTGCATCACAAAAAAACATAAAATACATTTTGTTAGACATTGATGGAAAAGGCTTTTTTATATTTTTTATTTTGGTTTATCATCAAAACAGCTCTTTTTTTCCCCAAGTCCCACCACATCAACAATTACTTATAAAATTATCTAATCACTTGTTTTAGAAGCACACCAATGTTAGATTTAAAGGCTACAACTACTTCAGTTAAATTATGAAAATATACTTTTTGGAATTTTAAAAATTAGAAAATATAGAAATTTTGAAAATAAATTGAACTATACTTACATGAGCATCACTTTCAGTATATAAAGTGGCATCAATATGTATTGACTGAAAGGGAACAAAATAGATAATATGAAAAATTATGTCCTACTTTGTGGTTGTTAGGTGCCATTGAGTTTGCTCCGACTTAGCGACCCCGTGTACAACAGAACGAAACACTGCCCGGTCCTGTGCCAGCCTCACAATCCTTGCTCCACCTGAGCCCATTGTTGTAGCCACTGCATCAATCCATCTTGTTAAGGGCCTTCCCCTTCTTCATTAACCTTCCACTTCACCAAACATATCTTTCTCCAGGGAATGGTCCCTCTGACAACATGACCAAAGTAGGTGAAACAAAGTCTGGCCATTCTCACTTCCAAGGAGCATTCTGGCTGCACTTCTTCCAGGGCAGATTTTTTAGGTAAAATGAATACTACTTACTGAACACATTAAATTGCAGTTTTTATTATGAGACAATTTTAGATTCATATGTAGTTATAAGACAAAACACAGAAGAATCTTGCACATTCTTTACCCATTTTCCCCAGTGGTAACATCGTGCCTAACCATAGTACATTATTACACCTAAGAAATTGGCACTGATATAATCCACACACCTTCTTGAGAGGCATCAGTTTTACACATTCTATAGGGTGTTTGTCTTTGCAGGTATATAGGTTCTACACAATTTTATAACATGAGTAGATTGACTTAAGCACCACCATAGTCAAGATACAGAACAGTTCTATCCCCACAAGTTTAGTTTGTGTAGTTCTTTCATAGCCAAACTCCACTTTCTGGCCACCCTCCTCTACCCACTACCTCTCTAACTCCTTTGTTCTCTATTCTTCTAATTTTGTTCTCTGTTCTTTATTCTTCTAATTTTGTCATTTAATGAAAAATTTAGTTTGTCAAATAATCATATAATATGTAACCTTTTAATATTTGCTTTTTTAAAATAGCATAATTGACTTTAGATTCATCAAGGCATTGTGTATATCAATAACTTGTTCTTTTTGTGGAAGTACCACAATTTGTTCAATCATTAATTGGTGAAGGACATTTGGGTTGTTCCCACCTTTTGGGAACTATGACTAGAGGTGCTGTGAACACTGGTGTGCAGGTTTTTGTGTGTACATGAATTCCCATTTCTCTAGGGTGAATGTCTACAAGTGTAATTACTGAATAATGAGGCAAATACATGTTTTGTTTTATATGAAACTTACAACCCATTTTCCAGAATGGCTGTACTACATATATTCTCACCTCACTGCCATTGAGTTGGATCAGACTCATAGCCACCCCTTTGGTTTTCCGAGGTGGTATCACTATGGAAATAGATTGCTCCAATCTTCCTTCTGAGGAGTGGCTGGGGGTTTGAACTGCCAGCCTTCTTGTTAGCAGTTAAATGCTTTAGGCACTACGCCACCAGAGCTCCCATATTCTCACCAGCAATGTATAACTGTTTTAGTTTCTCTTCATTTGATGTTGTCACTATTTTTCATACATTTGTCATATTTACATTTAATGAGTGATATTTTGGTTTTAACTTGCATTATCCTGAATAAGATACACATCTTTATCTATACTTTCTTCTAAAAACACTTGGGATGATTTACCCTTTCTTCCTTTCCAAATTGTATGCCTTTTCTTTCTTCATTTTTTTCTTGTCTCATTCATCAAATTTCTTTTTCATGCCTTATTGAGCTAGCTAGAACTTCCATTATAATGTAAAACAAGAGCAGTGAGAGGATATTTCTTTGTTCTGTTTCTGAATTTAGCAAAAATTATTCAGTCTTTCACCACAAAACATGTTACCTTTAGGTTTTTTTTTTTTTGTACATGCTCTGTATCAAATTGAGGCAGCTCCTCTCTATTCCTAGCTTACATGAAGATACATTTTTTTAAAATGCTTTCCCTGCATCAATTGATTTGAAGATTTGATTTTCGTTTTTAGCCTATTAATAATGATAGATAGGAGCTCTGATGGTGTACTGTCTAAGGCATTTGACTGCTAACCAGAAGGCTGGTGGTTCAAACCCACCAGCCACTCCTTGGAAGGAAGACTGGGCAATCTACTTCTATAGAGATACCCCCTCGGAAACCCAAGGAGCGGTCACTATCAGTTGGAACTGACTCACTGACAGTGAGTTCAGTTTAATATGATAGGTTACATTGATGAATTTGTAATCACTTCAATGGATTTTCAAATACTGAACCAGTCTTGCATACCTGGAATATACCGCATTTGGTAATTGTTATGAATTGAATTGAATCCCTTCAAAAAGATATGTTAAAATCCTAAACCCTGTCCTTATAAATGTAACTTTCTTTGGGAAAATAGGGTTTTCCTGTGCAGATATTATCAAGTAGTTATACTAGATTAGAGTGGTTCCTAATTCCTTCTGGAATGCCAGGGGCTGCCAAAACTGAACCAGATAAGGAAAGACCTTGCCCTAGAACCGAGGAGAGAGACAGAGAGTGAGCTTAACTCTTCATCAAAGTCCTAAGTTAAAACTTCCAGCATCTAGAAATGTGAGAAAAAAAAAATTCTGCTTTTTAGAGCCACCCATTCTGTGGTATTTTGTTAGGCCAGAACTAGGAAACTGAGACAGTAATGGTGTGTGCAATTCTTTTCTACATTGCTGGATTTTATTTGCTAATATTTTATTGAAGATTTTTGCATATAATTTTATGGGAGATAATCAGTCTATAGTTTTATTTCCTTGGTATTGGAATGTGTTCTCTACTCTTCTATTTTCTGGAAGATATTGTGATAAATGGGTGTTATTTTTTCCTTGAATGTTTGAAAGAATTCTCTAGTGAGACTAGCTGGGCCTTTATATTTTTTTTTTTTCAGGAGCATGTAAATGATGAATTCAATTTTAAATAAGGAGCTCAATTTTAAATGATTATAGGACTATTCAGATTATCTATTTCATTTTATTAAGTTTTGGTAGCTTGTGGATGTAAGAAATTGTTTCATTTATTTAAAGTTGTCAAATGTATGAGCACAAAGTTGTTTGTAGTTTCTGTTGTTGTTGTTGTTGTTGTTAAGTGCCGTCAAGTCGTTTCTGACTCATAGCAAGCCCATGCACAGCAGAACGAAACACTGCCCAATCCTGCACCAGCCCCACAATCCCTGCTATACTTGAGCCCATCATCACAGCCACCATTGTCAATCCATCTCCTTGAAGGCCTCCCCCTCTTTCGTCGACCCTCCACCCTACCAAGCATGACATCCTTCTCCAGG